TTTCTAAAAAAAGTTGTCAAATTATGTCATTATACTAGTATAACGAGATAAATAATAGGTGTCATTTAATTTCGTCACGCGTAATTGATTTTGTCACGCGTAATTGATTTCGTCGCCCGTAATTAATTTCGTAATTAATTTCATAATTACGTATTACGTATTACGTATTACGTTTTTGGCAAAATAATTACCATAGCATGTATAATCAAGACATTTTTTAAAATATCCAAGTTGTTTTTCTGATTTATTATAACCTTGTAATTTAGCAAATTGTTTGATATCTATTTCCCTAATTTAATAATTAAAAAAAATTTTTTTTTAATTAAAAAGAAAAAAAAATTAAAAATTACCAATTCAGTTCAACATATGCCTGAAGCATGTTCATTTCTTCATGTAACTGACCAGGTACAAGTATCAACCAAGGAAATTTCTCTTTTATTTTGGTAGCATGATGATATGGAACACCACAGCTATCCATTTACGAATTCCTTCTTTAATCCCAGAATTTTTTCAATGTGAAGAATTTTTTCAACACTATCTATTGAATTAGGATTAATATTTAAAGGGTCAGGAATGTAAATATCAGGAACTTTAATGTCTAAATCAGCAACTGGTTGTTGTGTAATACTGATTCTGGAAGTAGAAGCAGCTCTTGATTCACTTTCAAAATTATGAGATTTAAAGATGAGAGGCTTTTCATAATTATCTGGTGTGCTAACTTCTTCAATTATATTTTGCTTTTGTAATTCCCCCAGTGTAGGTAATTTAGCATTACAACTAGGACAATTTTGTTTTTTATTTTGAATGTTTTGTTCATTGCAACTAGGACAATATTTACTAAATCTATTGTTTGATTTGTTATTTTCTATAAGTACATCAATAACATTGGTTAAATTAGATTTTTCATTGCATAATAGAATAGGCCAAGGATCTCTGAAAGATAAGTATATAATTCTTTATCAATTTCTTCTTGCATTTCAGGTGAAAGTTCAAAAAGTTCTTCGTATTGTTGTTCATTAAGAGAATTATACGCCCAAGGATTATTTATATGTTGTGTTTTATTGCTAGGTTCCATATTGAATGCAACAAAACTGGTAACGATATGGAAAATAACTTTATTAAATCCACGATCAAGGTAATTCTTTTGCCCTTTCTGCTCATTATCAAAAGCAATAAATAACAATCCATTTGGCAAAGCCTCTTCTATGTCTGATAATTCTTCTAGCCATTTTTGAAAGTAAAAATAACTTCCACCAGATGTAATATGGTTATCAATATTTATAACTGTTTTTGATC